GAGCTGATGCGGGACAGTGCCGCCTGCCACCTTACAATCCAAGTCCACCTCAAATATACAAACTCGAAATATCATTCATTGGTTTTCCATTCATTACCGTATCATGGGCCAATTCGAGAACGGAACCCCTGTCATAAACGCCACACATAAAATGCAAACAAGATGGTATAAGACACAAAAGAAACCATGCAACTGAGGCACCTCCAACCTTCCTATTAGAAGGTTGTTCAATGCGCGGTGGACTGAGCCCGCGGCAGGTGAGGGTTTGAGACCGGGATGCCTGCACGGCGCTTAGATTGGGGCTTGGGTCTGGAGAGTGTATATCTGAGAGGTAGATATTAGTATAAGATCCAACTGGGTTCAAGAATCGAAATAGACATACTTGGCAAATGCACGCGAAAGTGCCTTCTTACAGCTGACCTTTTGGCTGCCGATGAACGAATCCACAGTAACAGCGATGGCACGGTCAATGTCCAGCGACGAGCAGTACTCTGACAGGCGCATCTTGCAGAAAGCTTCGGCGATACGCATGATGGCTTCAAGGTGACGAACCTGGAAATATGGGGTAAGAAAATGGTCAATGTAGGGGAAGTAGAGAGATATAACTTACTGTGATGGGGTACGCTCCAGTAGCAAGGGACTCGCGGCGCATGTCTGCGAAGAGACGGGCAACCTTATCCTGGTCGATCTGATAAAGCTTGGGGTGGCAACGCTCTCGTGCATACATAATGTACTTCCGCAGGAGCTCCTGCGGGATCTCACCCTCCTTCTCCTCTTCGGCTTTTTGCTTTTCTGCCGCGCGTTTGGCGATCTCCTCCTGTGATGGAGGAAGTCTCTGGCCATCTCTGTTGATGCGGTAACCCTCGTTGTCAATGAGATGGCCGTTAGTATCAACCAAGTCGCCCTTCTCATTCCGGAGGGGACGGGCCGGGTTGGAACGGTGGTGTGACTCAATCACGAAATTGGCCAAGCGCTCATCTTCGGCAGGATCAACCAGGTCACGCACCACACAGAGAATGTCGAAACGAGACAAGATAGGGTCCGTCAAGTCGACATTCTCCGAGAAGGGAATCGAGCTGTTGTACCGACCACCCTTGGGGTTAGCGGCCGACACGACAGCACAGCGAGCCTGCAATGTCGTCACAATACCGGCCTTGGAGATGGAAATGGTTTGCTGTTCCATGGCTTCGTGAATAGATGTCCGATCTTGGTCGTTCATTTTGTCAAACTCATCAATAAGACAAGTACCGCGATCAGCCAACACAAGCGCACCACCTTCCAACGTCCATTCGCTGGTGAGGGGATCGCGGCGAACACTGGCTGTGAGACCGACGGCACTAGCACCCTGACCGGTGGCAAACACGGCGCGGTGGGCGGTCTTCTCAACGAACTTGAGCACCTGAGACTTGGCGGTACCGGGATCACCCAGAAGAAGGACGTTGATATCACCACGAATGTTCATCTTGCCCTGGGCCTGCTTGCTAACACCACCAAAGAGCGAAAGCGCAACAGCAGTCTTGACGTCCTGGTGGCCGTAAATACTGGGTGCCATAGAGCGAACAATCTTGTCCACAATATCGGGGTCACGGGAGAGGGCCCGGATTTCGCGCTCATCCTCTTCTGTCAGGTTGAAACCAGCCAACTGGTCGTGTGCCTTGACCACATGGTTAGCCTCAATTACGGTGGCGAAGACCGGGAAGCCGTTTTTGTTGTTCAGTTGGGCATCGTAGCTGTTGCGGTAGACGCCGGTGATCTCAATCTCATCACCGGGTTTGGCACTGTCGATCAGATCGGCAAGCAAAACGACCTCACGCTGCCGCGGCAGACGACCTGCGGGAACCGAGCCGGGGGACTCCTGCAAAGTCAACTTCTGGTAGTTGCGGTAGACTGTTTTCTCGGAATTGACAGTGAAGGGACCACGCGACTGGCAGTTCTGACAGAACGAGATCTTCACCTCTGCACTAGCTTCTTGCTGGAATGGACCCAAGGTAATACCACACTTCTGGCAGAGGAACATGACATACTTCAGCTGCGGGAAGACACCAGTCCGACGGGTAACGACACCACCGACACGAATCAGGCAGTTTAGATGCGACTGGCGCAGCTGGCGCAGGGTGTAAATGATGGGCACATCGGTTATGCGGACGTGGATCTCGTTGTGAATATCGTGATACTGTGGGTAGTGGAATAGAGTAACGTCGAGTGCAACCTGGTCAAATACCTTCAGGACTTCGGTGGGTTCGTTGGCGAGGAAGTATGACAGAGCTGCCTTGGTCTCGCTGAGATGGGCATAGGACACTTCGAGTGAGGCGGAGTTCACCTCACCCAGTGTCTTGATTCGGTTACCGTAAACAGACTGGCCTGTGGGGTCGATGAACTCTGTCAGGAAGGCCTTGAATTCGCGGTAGATGGAGCAGCGAAGGACCTGGGGCTGGGTCACCCAGTCCGTAATGTTGGCTGCCTTCACATCTGCCAGTTCCTCCAATGACAGCTCTTCCATGCCCTCATCAGCCATGTCGATATCTTCACGGTCCTCGTCATAATGGTGTCTGCGCCGTCGGGGTTGGCGTGCGAGGTCCAATTCCATATCGTCGTCATCTTGTAAAAAGGCGGCAGGCATGCGGCGCCGACGTGCCAGTTCACGATCTCTCTGGTTCAGGCGCGCATCCAGCTGCCGACGAGTTGCGGCATCGATCTCATCATGGTCTTCATCATCATCAATGTATCCTTCGTTTTCATAGCGATCTTGCGCCGCATCACGATAATCCCGCTCAAAGTTGTCACCGAACAGGTCAATGCCGTCCTCGTCTTCAGCCAATTCATCAATATCATCAATATCTTGCACAAGGCCTCTATCTTCATCCTCATCCTCATCTCCCATATCAAAGGGGATCGGGGAGGGGACGAGCCCAAAGCGGTGGCTGCACATGAACATTGTCAGTCTCAAATTGACGCAGCCCGGACAAAGAAGCACACATACGACTGGAAGGAGGCAATGGCGCTGGGGATGACATTTCATCCTCTCTGTCTCTCTTACGAGAATTGGCCCCCCGGCCACGGTTTGCGGCCGAGTCGCTGGCTCGGAGCGGACTGTAGTGCATTAGCTTTCGAACGCAGAAAATTCAGGAGGCACACTCACTCCATTGTGTGGGTGTTTCAACTAGCAAATTTCAAAGGAAAGAGTGAGCAATGGCCAGGAAATTATGAGTACGAATAAGTGGTGTGTATCGGGGCTTTTTCTCGAATATGTGGTAGCGTGGTTGATAGAATGAAGGGAGGGAGAAGGGGCGGCAAAGTCGAGTTGTGCAGCGAGTCGCGTGTTGGACGCGACGCGTTCCAATTAAGCCCCGATTGGGAAGGTGGGTCTTCCACTTCCTATATTCACACAACTGGCACCTTCCTGTCTCCTTTTCTATATCACCCTCATCATTGTGGTTGAAATATAGTGAGAGAAAAAAAAAGAGTTAGAAAGAAAGAAAATCATCCCACACACGACTACAGCAGAGATTGAAGTCACAAAAATTCAATGATCGACGCAGGGATCGAACCTGCGACCTTCTGTGAAACTCCAACATATGAAATGTAAGACAGACGCCTTAACCACTTGGCCAGTCGATCGTTGGGGTGAAAGTTTGTTAATATTCAAGATTCGTCAGTCGACAAAGCCGGTAGATGCAGCATTTTAGGACCGATCAAGGTGCGGCTGCTTCACCAATGGATGGAGGCACTTTCCTGCTCACTTCAACAGCACAGTTGGACAGAAAACATCTTTGCGAATTATAGTACTAATGCAAGCTGCGCTCGCCGCTCGACTTCGTCCGCTGTCCGTTTTGGTCTGTCGATCCTTCATCCACTGTATACATTGATGAACACTATACTTTCAAAGATCCGTCCCTCCAATTACTCTTAAGTCTTTCGATCGAAACATGGTCTCATTACCCCTGGAAAAAACACCGTTGCGACAACCCCATGCTGGAGCTATCACCGAGTTAGCAGCAAAAGCTCTACTTGATAAGAACATTCCTCTTTTGGAGTGGGGGTCGCAAATACGGTGGAGAGATGTGGATATCCTTCAGTCCTTCTACCTCGGTACGTAGTAAGAAATGGAACATCCTATCCAGAAATTTAGTTATGGGGCTCTACAACCTTGGAATGTGTACTAGTAGTGTTGACGCTTTCCAAGGCTGTAGTCTTTTTGACAGTCCTATTAGGGTCCTTTTAGTACTAGTAGTCTTCCAAGGGAGTAGTCTTTTGAGTAGTCTAGACACAGTATGAACGGCAGCCCAGCAGAACATTAGAATGTCGCGCAGTATCACCCAAGAAATCAGTAAATTGAAACGGGCCCATATAACGATCTGCCAGATAGCCACAAGGGGGCGGATTGGTATTCCAAGGGCATTGGTACAATGATCAAATTCACCCCGGATTCTTGAGACAAACCAAGCTTTTTAGTCGCATAGATTTGCACCTGAAGTATGATGAGCCCAATCGATTATAGACATTGAGTTTGTCAGCGTACGCAGAAGACAGAATAGAGGGTCCAGCATAGAAGAAGACCCAGAAGGTAAAAAGCATGAGTCTCAGCTCATAGTGCAAGGATGATAGGAGATTATCGAGTGATCAGCGTAAGCCAGTGGGCGGTGTACCTAGGGTACGGCGAGCAGGCAACTTCCAAGTTGTATGGGTAAGTTGGCTCGACTGCTATATAAAAATTTCCCTTTGGTCTCACTTTACCATTGTAATGATCGCACATTAAACTTAATTTCATTACTAATTGATGGAGGACACCTGGGCATTCTGAAGTTGGAAACGTTGAGGTGATATGGGAAAGATATCATCTAGACCGCCCTGCTTTGGTTGGTATCTGCCGGCAGAAACTTTATGTCGCGACGAGATTGAGTCGCGTCGTTATCCAACACATCGCCTCGGCATCCATTATTTTTTGGGCCGTTCGTTATTTGCCAGTTGCCAAAATAGGGACGCAGATAGATCCCCCTACGATGGAAGCCCCGCACTCGGCTGTTGCCCAAATAACCGAAGATGCTCGTAGTGAGAGCATGGGCTCACAGAACTCCCAGACCGCGAAAGAGTATGACGCATTCCCCTAACCCCAACACTTCCCCCCCACATTAGAAGTAACTTTACTAACTGGCTTTAGGTTTATTGAGTCACAGCTCCAACTAGAGGCAGATGCGCGCGAGGCTCTTCCTTATGTGAGTGTCTGGACAAGCAGGTGGCGCGCGACTTGATCCACAGCTGACCTACTGGCTTTAGGCTTTTGACTCTTGCACATATGACCTTGGACCATTGCGACAAGTCCTCTTTGCATGCCTAACCTGCAATCCTCCTCCTACCGACTCCAACGAATCCTACAGTCCCGCTGCCGTCTGTTACTCGTGCTCGATCGCTTGTCACGGGGAGCACACTCTAGTGGAGCTCTTCAACAAGCGCAACTTTGTCTGCGATTGTGGGACCACCCGTTTTCCGTCGTCTTCTTGCTGCACGCTCCGTGAAGATCCCGCAACCGGCAAGAAGGGTGTGCACTCCCAAGAGGCTGCAGCAGGCAACAGATACAACCATAACTTCCGCAATCAGTTCTGTGGCTGCGGCGAACAGTACGATGCGTATTCAGAAAAGGGGACAATGTTCCAGTGCCTGGGGCTTGGTACCGTCGAGACCGGAGGCTGTGGTGAGGACTGGTGGCACCCAGAGTGTCTCATCGGCTTGTCGCGCGATTGGAATAAGGCTGCCCCCAAGGTCAATGGGATCGGCGGTGGTGATGCCGCCAATGAAATTTCAGCCGAGGACGAAGAAGATATGCTCCCACCTGGGTTTCCCGCAGAGGATGATTTCGACCATCTGATCTGCTTCAAATGCATCGACTCTAACCCCTGGATCAAGGCTTATGCAGGCACTCCTGGATTCTTGCCGCCAGTTTTCCGGGAAGGTGGACTCAAGAAGGCCTCAAACGTGACTGAGCCAAATGTGACCGAGGATATCTCTGTACCAGCTACTGAGCCCAGGGAGACCGAACACAAGGATCAGGAGAAGGCCGAACAGTCAAAAAAGCGCAAGGCAGATGACGAGGGGCCCACTGAAGGAGAGCCTGTCACCAAGCGGACTAAAGAAGAAGAAGAAGCCCCTGCTGAGGAACAGCCATCAAAGGTCATGAAGGAAGAGAAGTCTGCCAAGGAAGAAAGCGATACTCCTACAAAGCCATTGGCCCTTAAGCACACCAAGCTCCCCAAGTCCCCTCCGATGGAATCATTCTCCCTTTTTGCTTTGGAAGATTTCCATGGTCAGCTGTGTCGCTGCGCAGAATGCTTCCCCAAGCTTGCTCCCCACCCCCAGCTTCGCGAAGAAGAAGATACCTACGAGCCTCCCATGTCCGACGACGGCCAGGCTAACGGTGCCGGAAGCGTCGGTACAGGCAGCATCTACGATCGTGGTGAGGCAGCACTAAACAACATGGATCGGGTGCGCGCCATCGAGGGCGCAATGGCATACAACCATCTGCGTGACAAACTCAAGGTGTTCCTCCAGCCCTTTGCTGAGAGTGGACAAGCTGTCAGCGCGGAAGATATCAAGGGCTACTTTGAAGCGCTGCGTGGTGATGAGCAGGGCATCAAAGATGCCGCTAACCATGCTTCTACTGTGGGTGGTGACGGCAAGGATGATACCGGCGGAGACAAGCGACACGAGCAGAATGGTAAGTGACTATCAATCCTTCTCTGATTCTCTGACAGTGATCACTGACTCTTCGCTTCGGTCTCAGGGTACTGATTATCTTTTTACGCAATCCTTTTCATCTTTTCGGCGTTATCATCGGGTACTATCTGGGGGGGTCTTCGGGGATGGTTCAAATGTACGATTTTCTGGAATGGGATGGGGATATGGGCAATTATGGGAGATATGGGTACAAATGACCCATGCCATGCAATCAGAATGATTACTATCTAGCAGAGGTTGAATGGCCCCTTCAAGTGGGAATCAATCATAATAGATGATACATAGTGGTCATAGCCCCAGTGCTGAATGGCCAAGTAAATCCCGCGTAAATCATCATGATGCAATTTCGCTAGTTATTGTAAACGCTAACACCCAATTAAATGTATGATGTGAGTGGATATCATGGCCAGCCTGTCCACGAGCCGCAAAATATGATCAACACAGATATGCAGCAAGCAAATGAAGATTACTCCTTGAGGCGCTTCGAAGCCCTCATCAACGAATCGTCTGGCAGTCCACTCCGTTTGGTGCCAGGAAGACTGCCAGTGCGAATATCATTATCATCCTGCGTGACCCGACGGTGTGGGTATTTGCCCTCGATACCCTCGAAGCAGTTGCCACTAATAGGGCCGCCATTGGTAAAATACGGGTGCTCAAGCGCTTGCTCGGCGGTCATCCGCTTGCTAGGGTCATATTCGAGCATACGCGATAGAAGATCGAATCCATCTGCACCGGGAGTACCGGCACTGGAGGTGGACGAGTATCCACCGTTTTTCAAACAGCTCTGGTACCAGCCTTCAAGATTAGAGCCGCGATGGAAATGTGAAGGTTGACGGTGGAGCACTAAGGACTGGAGCTGGGAATATTCGGGCATGGAGGGTAGACCCGGCCAGGACTCTTTGCGGGGAAGACCGAGGATTTCGACAATCTTCATCATTTGGTTCCGTTGGAACGGGACTGTTTTCTTGCTGTCCATTTTGGCTTCTTCGCCTTTGAATATTGGTCGTAGCGAGAGTAGTTCGGCGAAGATACATCCTATTGCCCACATATCGACGGCAGGGGTATAATGCCGGCTTCCCATGAGCAGCTCGGGTGCACGGTACCATATTGTGACGACGACTTTGTCGCCCGAGAACAGAGAGTTGAGTGGCTTGTAGAACAGACGTGCTAAGCCCAAGTCGCCGATGCGAATAGCACCGCTTGAGGTGACGAGGATGTTGGCTGGTTTCAGATCACGATGCAGAACCCAGTTGGTATGAAGATAGAGCAGTCCATTCAACAACTGGAACATGATAGACCGGACCATGGGCGCTGGAATAGCATGTCGTTGAGGCTGGGTGTGATGATGAATGATTTGCAGCAGATCATGCTCTGTATATTCAAATACCATGAAGATGCATTTGTCTTCCAGAATGATCTCTTCTAGTTGGACAACATTGGCATGTGAGAGTTCAGTGCACAATGCCATTTCGCGGATAGCCGACTGCGACAGACCCGTGTACTGGATGGTTTCGCCTTCCTTGTCGGGTTTGAATCTGGATGATGTTAGAATGAACAAGATATCAAACGCTGGAGGGCTTTTACTTTTTGATTGCAAATTCCCCTTTCTTGCCATTTTTGCCAACAGCCTTGTACACCCGGCCATACGTACCACTGCTGATGAAGCCTACTATGTTATACCGATCTCGGACCCGGACTTTGCTGGTATACCCGCCGGGTCTTCTTGATTCAATAGCATCTGTATAAACCCTCGGTTAGCATATTTCGGGATTGCCGGATCAAGAATCGAATGCGTCCGCGAGGATTCCACTTTGCAAATTCGAACAGAGACAAGATCAACACAAAGAATCAAAGGGAAAGAGTTACCGCGAGAATAGAATCCTCCAGAATTCATGAAAGGGAAACCCTTTCCAAACATGATGGAATAGAAACAAGCCGTTACACCAAGGAACGAGTAATCACAAGGAATACATATAATTACCATCGACAGTAGCCTGGAGACTCCGTTTCAAGTTACCGACTCTGGTTCGCGAGAGAGAGCCGGAGGAAGAGGGCGGGTTTGTCAGACTCATTTGTGGATCTGAATGGGCCGGTGATGTTGTCACTCCATTGGTGGAGAGATAGCTTTCTCCACGATTACCAGTTCTTTCAATATAAGAGAGGATTTGAAAGACGAGAGAGATATTCCAAGGTTCTAAGGTATTGTCTGAATTGTCTGAATTGTACAAATGAGACTTTGTCCAGGTGAGTTCAGCCGTGTCAACGCTTAGTCAGATCACATGTCGGACGGCTTCACCTTGGAGCTTCAACTTCTTGTAGCTTCAACTCTTCCACTGTTCAACTCTTTAACTCATCTGCTTCAAGTCATCTAAACTGAAGGACTCTATGTGATCCAATGTGAAATTTGACCTAGGCAGACCTCTCTCGTCTGACCAACTTGACCTCATATCATCTTATCTCTGCGATCGGCAAACGTCATTAGTTGGAGGCCCTCTTAACGTACCTTCAGTCCCAGGGTCGTCGATCCTAGAATTTGTCTCAACGATGGTTTTGGGCGCATCAACCCGGTCGCGGGTTACAACATACTTGATATATCTCGTGTTTGTTGTAACGCTTGGTCCGCTTCAATTTGGTTTTCATCTGGTACGATATCACCCCCTCCATGTACGGACCTCGGGAGTATACTTACAATTACTGATACATGAATTACACAGGCAGAACTCAATGCCCCAAAATCCGTGATAACATGCGAACGTCAAGGAATTCATTCTTCTGGCATCACTTTCCATGGTCTACCGCAATGTTTCCCTATGACGCCATCCCAATTCGGCCTCGTCTCTTCGATCTACACGCTCGGTGGTTTACTTGGAGCCCTACTGGCAGGACCCATCGCGACCAGATACGGACGCCTGCTTGCATTACGAGCGACCACGGTGTTCTTTATTCTGGGGCCTGTGGCAGAGACGCTTGCGCCAGTGATTTCCCTCTTGAGTTTTGGTAGATTCCTCTCTGGAATTGGCTCTGGTGCTGCAATTGTGGTTGGGCCTATCTACATTTCAGAGGTCGCTCCTCCCAGTGCCCGAGGCCTCTTCGGTGCCTTCACCCAGATTATGACCAATGTTGGTATTCTGTTGACACAATCCCTGGGATACTTCTGGAGTGAAGCAAGACTCTGGAGACTCATACTGGCTGTGGCCGGAATCATCGGTGCTCTAGAGCTTTTGGGGCTGTTCTTGGTACCAGAAAGTCCTTCATGGCTCGCAGAACACCAGAAGATCAGCCAGGCACGCCGAGTCCTGCAGCGGATCCGTGGTAGAGATGCCGATATTGAAGCGGAGATTGCGGGCTGGAGGACCTCAGATGCGCCTGCATCGGGCGAACGAGAATCCTTGCTCTCTCCATCCGGTGAGGGAGCGCCTAAGAAGCCTATAGTCACGTTTTTGCAGGTTGTCAAAGATCCCTACTACCGCCCAGCTATTATTGCTGTGGTTGGCGTGATGGTCGCCCAGCAACTCACTGGGATGAACAGCATTGTTATGTACAGCGTGTCCTTACTACAAAGCATATTACCAACGACCGCTGCGCTACTCACGATAATGATATCTGCAGTTAATCTTGTGATCACGCTGGCGTGCTCCCCACTGCCCGATCGCATTGGCCGAAAGTTGTGCCTGATGCTGAGCATCTGCGGTATGGGCTGCAGCTCTGTGCTTCTCGCGATAAGTATCCATATGAATGCTAAGATTCCGACGGCGATCGCTGCCTTACTTTTTGTGGCATCTTTTGCGGTCGGACTGGGCCCGGTCCCCTTTATCCTGGCCTCCGAGCTTGTTGGGCCCGAGGCTGTCGGCGCAGCACAGAGCTGGGCGCTGGGTGCCAACTGGATCGCAACCTTTGTGGTGGCACAATTCTTTCCAGTGCTTGATGATGCTCTCGGTAGTCGTGGACAGGTATACTGGGTGTTTGCAGCTATGGCCGGGTTACTTGGTGCCTTCATCTATCGATATGTGCCGGAAACTAAGGGCAAAGCTAATGCCGACGAGGTTTGGGGGCGAACAGACCGACGACAAGACTGACTTTTAGATTTGTCCCTTTTCTATAATCATTCATAGCTCTATAATTTTCCGGAATAACACCTCGGCTATAGTATAGTATACATCTCAACATTTGTATAGGATGCGGGGTACTGCATCTCGTGCAGAGCCGGAGTACATTGCATAAATGTCTTTTAAATCAAAGAGATACATATGTTCAGGGCATTGCCAAGTACATATGTACACAATAGGCATCCATTTTTCTATTTTTTTCCCGGAGGAATAACTTGCGGTGTGGAGCTTTTTGATATCGACCCCAGCTTGCCCCCCAATTCGTAGGTGTGCAGGTGTCTCTCCCACTTTTCCCTCAAGTTTCTTTACTTTTCCCCGTTAAGATCTGATGATCTACCCTTCAACCATCTGAACCAATCCCTGTGTTTTGAAATTAACCAAAAGAGCTTGGAAATTACAGTGGGTAAATCCGTTTCTTGGCTGATCGACCCGGATCACAACCAGCGGATCGTCGATCAACTACTCTGGGGGTCTCTCGTAAACGTCAATTGTGTTGACCAGGGGCCAAGCCACCCGCCCAACACTTTTTTCCCCTTCGTTATTTCTTTTTTCTTGTCTTTCTTCTCATTTTGTGTACATCCGCAATGGTCCGGTTGGCACTACCCCAACGGTTGAGCTCGCACCTTTCCGCGAGGAGCGCGTCGTCAACTCCCGGACAGAGCAGAAGCGCCAGTCCATTGCGATCGACGGAAACCAAACATCTGATACTCAAGGTTTCAGTAATTCGGGTAAGTACTGAGGGATTGTGTGACCTTTTTGTGTTCTCATGAGCTCCTGGCTGATTTCAATGGTTTCATTAGGGACGCAACCTCGCAGCCAAAGATAGAGGTGGCACGAGCGACCCAGTGAGTACCCTTCCAACAAAGACGATTCGAACCGAGA